GCGTGAGAATTGTCACATGATCTCGATGACGCAACAATATATATGCTTATTATGTTTGATTTCCTTTTTCTTCTATTATTATGTATTGTTGTTTAGCCTTTTTAGCGCATTATTTAAGTTTATTCGTCTTTAAACATTTATGAGTTGACATCCATTTTTTTACACGTGTGTATAATGTGAATAGACTATTTAAATTAACTACATTAGAAGTGATAGGTCTAACGTTTATATGTTAAGTGTTTAATTTTAAATGTTTTTTTTTTACTTTTATGTTATTTAATGCAAGTTTTAGAGTCAATTATTGTATTTAAATTTAACGAGGGTTTTTATTTTTTTATAGTTATTCATTTAGTTAGTAGTGTGTTGAGGACATCGGTTATGCTTACGAGTCTTGTTTAGGGGTGCTACGTTTAGTTAATTATATTTTGTGTTGTGGATTACATAGGACTAAATTGTAACATGTTAATTGGGGTTAAGTGTAAATTAAAGTTAGCTTGAAAACAAACCTACGACAAGAGTCACTGAAGAATGTTGAAGTAAGCAAATATTTTCTACCTGATTTTCCTATAATTTATATTTCACTCCATTATGTTTAAAAAATTCTAAATTGGAACATATTAAGTTCAGTTTTAGTCATATGCAAAACTGAGCTTGAAGTATCACTTCCTGTCGACTTTCTGGTTAAGGAACCCATCTACTATTTCATGGGAAAGTTGCATTGCATTCTTGTGACTGTCACATGAAGCCCAGACAGCTCTGCATTCTGGTCTCCATTTTCTGCTTGGTCAGCTACACAGAGATGATACTTTTGATTGGCGGTTCCAAGCAGATTCTTTCTGTACTCCTTGGAGAAAAGCACATTTCTGTTTTGAAGTAGCCAATGAGTTGTAAAAAGTCTCCTACATCTTTGTAACGTTATCGAAGTTGTTGATTATGTCAGTCTTGTTTTTCTTTTATTTACAAATTATATTTAAACATCGATTTCATTAATCACAGATGAATACAGTTAGCCAATGTATTCAGCTTTACTTTATAATACAGTTGTTTGTTTGTAGTTAAGCACAAAGCTGCACAATGAGCTATATGTGCTCTGCTCACCACAGGTATTGAAACCCAGTTTCTAGCATTGTAAATCCACAGACATACCACTGTGGTTTTTATAATGCAATAATAGTTAAAAATGATTAGCTTTTCATCATTTCTTCTGTGAATTTGTTTTTGCCTCTGTAATATCATTTGTGAGTAGCTGGTCTTTCAACAAACTAGATACTAGATTACAAACCAATAGTTTTGCAAAGATTGAGGGCCTTTGTGTTATAAACTTGAGATTATCATAATTGGTTCCTCTTCATTCATGAAATACATGGATTTGTGGTGTATATAACTGCACCTATGGTGAACTAGAAAAGCAAATAGTCTGTGAAATCATACCAGATTTATTTAACAAGGGCTATTTTTACATATGTAGTACATACAAAACAAACAAGATTACTTATGTTGAAATATACAACTGTTCATTTAAATGTAACTTCATAAATGAAAGACTCTGAAAATCACGACTTAACAAATAATCAATTCTCCCTTCATTCTATTAAAACCAGTTTCCAAATCTTTTGAACGATATATCATCTCTGTTTTAATGTAAATAAAGAAAAGATGAACTTCCTATATCATTAATGAAAAGCTGAAATAAAGAGAAAATAATAATACATATGTAAATAAGTGTTAACATTACAAACAAAATTCTTATTCAATTTTATAAACATTTTCATTCAAACACAAAAATGACATTTAATTAGCATAATATTCATATATCTACTAAACGAAATAACCTATCAACCTAGTGGTGTAGGAAGGAGTTGCAAAGTGGTGTGCTGGGCTAGACATGCAGATTTTACAATGAGAGACTGCAAGTATAAAGAGATGCTAAAAGCATCTAGGGGGGTCGGTGATTATGCCCCCACAGAAATTAATATAATTTACAGTTGCTATTCAAGTCACATAAGTAAAACCCTAGGTTTTGATGCCTCTGAATTTCAACCACTGTGTTTTAACTATCTTCAACTATGTTCATGGTCTCTGCATAGGTTACATGTCAGCTTTTAATTTCATGCCAAAACAAAGTTAAAAGCAAGACACAGCCATTAAGTCTATTATGAATCACTGATTTAAATCTTGTTTTAAATGGAAAGCAATGAAAATAGTCATAACTACAACAACCAAAAATAAACGTCTTCACCACTAGATTACAATCCTATATCATTGAAAAAGTAGAAGGTCTATTTGTAATACAAAGAAATGAGAAAAAACTATTTGGAGCTAAAATTGCATTGGAAAAAAATAGAATAAAAAGATGATAATTAAGTTCTTAGTAGTCCATGCACACATACAAGGACTTCTGTTTAACAGATAATTCTCTTGAATTTTCAACTCTGAAGGCAAATAGAGCTTTGAGAACAGGGTCGTATCATGCTAAAAAACAACCCTGGAACAATGTTAAATCTACTTTATGCAGTGATAATAACAACTGAGTGGAGTCCTATCATCCAATCATCTATTTAAGGAGAAAGATGTATGTGTAGAAGTAATCACCTACAGGTGAATGCAAGGAAGGGAATGACTAATATTGTAAAAACTGTACCGAGGTTATAACATAGGATGGCAAATTGAAAGACAGTAGCTCCAAATGAAAAATTTCTGAAACTAAAGATAAATAGCAATGTATAAATAAACTTCTCTGTAATCCAGATTGTTTAACCTTCATCCTTCCTAATGAACAGATATTATGAAATGATTCAAACAAATAACTTAAAATATCCTGTATCTTATGTGAGTGTTGCAATTTCTTCAAAACTTAGCTTTTATTATAGCATTCAAGTGATAATAGATAAGTAATCTTTGGACAAGATCTAGTAGAAAAACATTTCTGAACCTCTGGGGAGGGTTTTATCAGCAAGAGAAAAGATAAAATCTTGCAAGTTAAAAGGAGCATACATGTAAAGAAAGATGTCATATTGATAATAACACCCTCTTGATACATAAGGAAATGTTACAAATTGCATAAATAACATTTCAAATTATCAGCAACCTTATACTGCAGAAAAGTCTTAACTAACAACCCTTATCATTATGCAAGTGCTGTTCAGTATAGAAGAATAAAGTAAGAATGATGAAAGTCTACAGAAAGGAAAATTCTAAACATAATAGTCAAAGATAAAAAAAAATCTTTAAAAAACATTAAACATAAAATACATATTATGTAGAACAATTTTGTAGACATCTTAATTGAGAAAAACAATCAAAGTAAAAAACACAACAAAAATTCAAACAATGAGTTGCTTTAATAGATGGACATGAACTAGCATGGGATTTGAAGCCTATTCTGAGAGGATGTTAATTCCCACTCTGAATACATTGGGGCATCTGATTGCATGAACAAATGTTATAAAAAAAGGAACACTAAAACATTTAACAGACAGGGATATATATATATATTGCTATAGTTGTACAAAAATATCCTTAAAACATCTTAAACTGGGTTAAATCAAGGTTTGCAAAATTCCTGCCTCATTTTTGTAAGGGCTGAAAGTTTTTTACTTTCCCTGCATGTTATGAAATAAAATCAGGAATATAATGTCACAATGAAAATGTCTTTTGAAAGAAGTTGTTTTCCATGAAAATAATTTTACATCACAATAAGAAGAAGTTTCACTCTAAAGACAGCATAGTTTTAAATGAGAAAAAGATCTCGAGAGTGTATCATAAAAATCATCTTTATTCTTAGTTGTTAAAAACAAACAATAACAAAGGCTTTAGATTATATTCATACTAAGTTTTATAACCTATAAATGAAATGATGTCTGATAAAAGTATTTCAGGGATAATTATATGTATCTAGAGTTGCAGAGTAATTATTCAATACAAGGGACTGTAACTATACAGTAATATTTACAAACCAAACAGCCTATAATAAAAACAATCTACCAAACAATATTTCTGGAAACTGTTTATTAGTCATTCTGTTATCAACTGTATTTTTATTACTATTTTTTAACTTAAAAAACAACCAACATCTCGTTGAAGTATGTTTGTTTGTTATTTGATAAAAAATACAATTTCAAAATAATACGATACTGCTTAATACATACAAATTACAATTTAAAATGTTTGAAACATTAAAACAAAACAATGACTACTATTATGGGATAACAAAACAACACTGGGTATATGATTACCTTTAATATATTCCATCCATTCAATATTTCCAGAAACCAAAACAAATAATAAATATATTGTGTACATAAACATATAAATATAGCCCTATACACAAATCAAGCAAAAAATTGTAGTATTAAATAGGTTCAACTTACCAAAGATTTTATAAATTGATTTTATGGAAAATGTTTGGTTTGCACACAAAAGGCACTTGAAAATTATTTTCTGGTAACTCAGCATGAAAGGTGTTAATGGATAGCTACAAACTACTTTGTGGTAAAATGTAAGAAAGACGTACTCATAAAAAAAAAAAAAAGTGTACCCCACAAACAAAAAAATATACAATATGCTACACAGATAATCATTTTCTTAGTTATTAAATTGAAAAACTTTCCATAATACTTGATTTCATCAAACTGAAAAAACAACATCATTACAGATGTAGATAACAGTTCTAACACGACCAGAAAAATAAGTATGTTATACAATTTCTTTGTAGCAGTTGTGATAAGTTTCTAAAGATTAATAAAACATTTTCTGAGTATTCAAAACCAGTTTTGCCTTGCTTCATTTTACATTTGCCTACAAATATTATGCTCTAAAGTTAATTTCTATGATAAATCTATTATTTACATAAAAGCAAAATAATGACAATATCATCAAATTTTATAATCTTTTAACCAGTGTTAAACAATTCAAAATCAAATTAAAAACCCAAATTCATTCAATTGTTTCCAGAAGTGTAAAACTAAACACAAAGAAGTATTTTGTAGTTCAAAAAGCCAAATTAATATACATATATTTACAATAATTATTCATGTCCACAGTAACATCCAATTCTGAAAAAAAAAAAAAATTAAAGGTATTTCAATATGCTGGAGAAAGAAGCAAGTGAATAGTGAAACATTTGAGAGCAAGCAGTTTGAATCACTGAAATTCAAGCTGACAAAATGGATTGTAAACAACTGCATTTTCAGTGAAATGAAAATATTTAAGAAACACAGAGGCTGATACCTTACAGAAATTTCTAACCTTCATGATAGTTAATAGCTTACAAAAATCTTTAACCCTTATGACAACTGATGATTCACAGAAAAGTTTAACCCTTAGGAAGATATCGCTTACAGAAATCTTTAACCTTCATGATGACTAATGGCTTATAGAAACCTCTAACTTTTATGATGGCCAATGGTTTTCAGAAATCTTTAATGCTTAAGAAGGCTGATGGCTTACAGAAATCTCTAAATTTGATGATGTATAATGGCTTATACAAATCTTTAACCTTTAAGAAGGCTGACAGCTTACAAAAATTTCTAACTTTTATGATGGCTAATGCTTATGGAAGTTCTAAGCCTTACGAAGGCTGAAGGCTTATCACTATCTTTGTAAGTGTTGAAAGCTTGTGCAAGGAAATTTGCATTGTCACTTCCCAATTGTTTTATAATAGTTAAAAGGCCATTCTGGTTCTTTTTTCAAACCAATAAAACAAAAAAACTAAAGTTTTGTACTTACTATCTAAATGCACTGTTGCAAAACATGGCCTTCTTTTACTAGACTTTATATGGCTCTCTACCATTGCCATTTGTCTGAATCTCTTAAGTATCTTATACAATACATGATGGGTATTCCTTAAATTTAAAAAAACTGATGCAGTACTGTGCTTGTACTAACATAAAATAATAGGTAAATCATGAGTACTAAGCCTTCTGTTTACAATCAATAATAGGGCCGAAGCAAATGTGTTAAAATGTTACAAGAAAAAGCTATTTTTCATTAGCAAATGTTTACTAGTATTTTAGGTGCTATAAACATCTGAAAGCTGAAAGTTTGGGACCTTCTCTTTTCCATGTAACAAACAAATAAAACCAAACAGATAAAGAAATAATATAGAGCATTAGAGAGACAGAGAGAAAAAAGAACCCCTTAAATAATGTTTAAGAACATCTCTGTTGATGTCTCTACCCTGTACTTCAGAGGTCAAATTTATAAATGAAAAAGCACCAGATACAAAAAGTGCCACTTAACAACTTTTCCGTGTAATTATGAAAAAACTGGATCTTAACAAGTTATTCATCAAGCATGTATTACCCACACAAACAAAATAAATACTATTATTATGATTAACTGCATTGAACTATTCCACTAAAACCTCTTAATAAAGCAAAGGAAAAGAATTTAAATACACCATCTACCAGTTATTGGGGTTCATTTAACATAAAATACAAAAACTGTTTGAAAACTACACTACATAATAACTTGATGAGGTGTCATTCATTATGAGCCTAAAATGTACAGTACAATAATAATTTTATCTAATTAGTAAATTACAGTTCAACCAGCAGCATACTTATATGACAAGTAAAAGGCACAATTTTAAATGTTTCACAAAAGTTAAGCATAACTAACTTCTTTCAGTATCCAATGATTGGAGAAACATGTCAAACATAATTCCTATTTTTAAGTTTCTTTTAAAGTTCTTTTTCCATTTTTAGACTATCCTACCAAACCTTTCTTAAAGTGTGAGATGTTTGATATTTATTTCAAAATAAACTGAGCACTGGCTTTCAAGATAAACAGCATGTAAATGGGTTTAATATTCTGAGTAAAAAACAGCTGCCAACTATCATAGGCTGATGTAAGTAGAGGTTGAAAAGTTGGTTAACAAGTAGGTTTTACTACTTTGTAATATTACTACAGACATACTTATTTTGTACATCTAACATATGCTCTTCTCCACTAATTTGGTAAACAATCTTGTCAAATTATTTAGCACCACAAAATAGTCACCTTACAGCAACATTAGGTTACAGCATACCAATCTAATACAGCAACGATCATTTAGTCACTTTTTAATTGTAACAGTACAACAATCTTTGAACCATTTTTGCATTGTTATAGTACAGTTTTTCTAGCATCTGTCATTAGGTTATAGCATAGCACTCCTGTACAGCAACAATCATTTAGTCATTTTTTAATTGTAACAGTACAACAATCTTTGAACCATTTTTCATTGTTATAGTACAGTTTTTCTAGCATCTGTCATTAGGTTATAGCATAGCACTCCTGTACAGTATCAATCATTTAGCCACTTTTTTCATTGTTATAGTACCGTTTATCTAGTGTCTGCCATTATATTATAGCATACCATTCAAGTAGGGTAACAATTACATAGCTATTTTTTCGTTGTTATAGTACTATGTTTCTCTAGTGTCTGCCATTAGATTACAGCATACCTCTCTAGTATAGTAACAATCATTTAGCCACTTTTGGATTATTATAGTACAGTGTATTCCTAGCACCTGTCATTATGTTACAGCATACCAGTCAAGCACAGTATTACTACATCTATGTTATTGTACATTATACTAACTGTTCTCTCCTGTATTGTCTGTCAACCAATCTTACTTCACCACATACCTGCTGGCCAATTCTGCTTTGTATCCACATGAAAATGTTTCTTCTAGTAATAACTGGGCCACATTTAAAGAACCGTATTAAATGTCATTCTAAAAATCTCATAAAAGCCCCTGGTGTTTCTTTTGAAAACATATCTTTACAGATAATGTTTATACAAATGATGTATGTCTGTGTGTTACTTGTTAAATAATAAAGAATACAGTTGAGTTCTAACATAGCTGCTGTTTATTAGGCTATAAGGTTTGTTTTCTAATATCTGTATGTCACCTTAATATCAATAAAACAACAGTTAGTTGTTAAGTTATACATATATAAAACACAAGGAGTTCAGTTACAGTTTACTAGATTATTCAAGTTCTTTTTCTAATATCTATATATTACCTTGAGATTAAACAGTTATGAGTTAGCTGTTAAATCATATGGAAAATTAGAAGCTGACTATAACATGTACCACAGTAGCAACATATTACCTTCCTCAGTGACTTCTTTAAATGTCTATACTCACAGTATAGTGTAGTCTTTTCCTAAATTTGTTAGAAACCTGATGAATTTTTTTTTATACTTTTATATCAGAAAATATTCCAGTATTTGTCTGATAACATAATATTTTACTTACTCATTATTCCAGTCAAGGTATAATTATTAATAGACTAGTACACTAAAATCTGTTGGACAACGTTGAGCTGTGCTTAATGTCTTTTCTTTATTACTTTGTGGTACTAGCAGAACTTAATTATAACATCAAACTTTCCTTAGAATCACAATCTTTCCTAACTCTGTAACACAATAAAATTACATTATAAGGACTATACAAAAATAACAAAAAGTGATTTAAAACAGAAAAATAAAGTGAGTCAACACACGAGTCAAATAATTTTAATAATTTAGTCTTATAAATTTTTTCCTCTTTCATAGAATTTTGAAACTACACAGCCAAACAATCAAGAACTAGTCAATACATTTTGTTAGAAATAAGAAGTAAAAAGTGTAACTCTTGGCCTAATTTCCCACAATGGCAGACATTAATTTGATGAGCTCTGCTACTAGAACTACCCATTTTTAACAAAATTGTGATAAAGAATGGTAAGAATCTTTATTGTTTATTGATGTCAACTGAAATGCTGGATTCAGTCACTTCACAAAATAATTGATATCAGTCTTCTTGATGTTGAATAGTCATATTTTACTAAGTCAGTAAACACACCAAAAACTGTATGGATGCTTCCCATCAAGCCAGTAATTACAGGAAATCAAAGTATATAACAAAGGTAAGGAACTAAGTACAATTATACTAATCACTATTTGATGTTAACTGTCTGAGCTGTTTTAGGACGGTTTCTACCAACTTCTTCTTGTCTCGTTGATTCTTTTTCAATGCTGAAAATATATTTTTCTTCTTGTCTGCTTCTCTCACCCTTAAAGGAATGAAGAATATTAATTCACAGTAACAATACAATATTTTAAACAATCTGTACTAAAATTGTTCAAATCCTTTCCATTCACAAGCCTGAATAAGTCCTACCTAAAGAAGAAATAAGAACTTTAAAAATGTTACATTTCTAAAACAACTTGTATTAGACAGTAATACGTTTTCCATAAATAACTAAACATTGCAATTGGTTCAAAAGCATGCATTATAAAATACAAAGTATAAAAATACCACTGGAAAAAAAAACAAAGACTTTTAATCTTCATAGCACAAATTCATAAATCATTCAATTTTTTTTATAGGTCTGTACACACAAGTATGCCTAAAACAATGTTTCAGATAGCACTGCATGACAAAATATTTGCTACTGGAGAAAACTCGGGTGATTCGGGGTAATCCAATGGCTATGATTTCAAAAATGGAGTCAAAATTTATCCACCACTTCTAGATTTTGAGTTATTATAATATCTCAGTATTTTATCAGCACTATGTGAAATACAATATAATCAACTAAGTACCAAAGATTTATATTGTGAAATTAAATTTACTTGAGACAGTTTAATGGGTAAAAGGAATACATTTTTGATAACTTGAAACATTTACTGTATTGTATTGGTGTAAAATTCCAAATATATTGTTCATATATGTTATTTGTTCTTGATATAATATTAATGACTTGCACCACTTTTGCTTCATTCCCATGCTAACCTGCTCTTCCGAGGAATCACATAACCCTCACATGCTCAGTTGCTAGAACATTTGAGAAGTCCCTCAACTGAGCATATAATGGGCAGAGTCAGACACCTCTCTCTCAGTTGCTTCTCACTCACTCAGTTGGACACTTCGCCTCACTCCTTGCAGAATCTAAACAAAGTCCGATCTTCTTCCTTGCATCATACCCAGGATATAATCAAATTCTGCAAAACTTTGTTTTTTAAAATATTTTAAACTCTAATTCTGTAAACATAAATTATTTTATATTTTTAGAAAATCATTTGAAGTACTGGCAAAAATCACCCAAACAGTTTCTGCTACATTTGTAGAAAATATATTGCTGTTTCATGAATGGAAAAACATCACAAACAAGGTAAAGGTAGCTTACTACCACTATTTTGGGTGTAGAATTGGGGACAAAGAAAAACACAGGGCTCCACACAGTGGCTAAATAAAAAGAGAGCAAGTATGCCATTTACAGTTCACATGATATGGAATGAGCCCAAATATCATCTAACTGACTGTTATTTTTGCATGAATAATGTTTCTGGATATTTAGGCAAAGCTAAACAAAACATTAAATATCCAGATATTGCATCTGCAATGAAACCAGTACCTCACGGAGATGGTCCTCTAGTGCAACACCCACCAGCAAATTGGGAAACAGAAGAGTTATCCTGTGATGAAGATGATGAATCATCTTCATCTAGTAATTCTATTTTTCTGGCACCTCAACATAAACTGCCTCATTTGATCACACAAGAAGAGCTAAATGATTTGATTTGTGACTTGTCTTTAAAAAAGCAGCATGGGGAACTTCTTAGCTCTCATTTACAGCAATGGAACATATTAGCTCCAGAAACAAAGTTTCAATTTACTGAAGTTGCCATCAAAGTCTTACTTCTCACAAAAGCATGAAGATATTTTGTTTCTGTTGATGCACTATGGAAGAATTAGATACTGAACATCATCCTCAAGAATAAAGACTTCTTATAAACTCATCTAAAGTTAGTCTGAAAGCTGTACTCTTGCACAATCAAAACACTAAGCCCTCAATTCCTGTTGCTCATGCTGTAAACATGAAAGAAACTTATCAAAGCATGCAGATTATACTTGAGGCCATCAAGTACGATCACCATAGGTAAAACGTATGTGGTAATCTAGAAGTTATTGCACTCCTGCTACACCTGTAGAGTGAGTATACCAAACACTGTTGCCAAGATGATAAAAATCATTACAAAAAGAAGGAATGGCCAGTGAGAGAGAATTACATACCAGGTAAACAGAATATAGAGTATCAACCTTTAGTGAATTCTCAAAATGTGTTTCTGCCCCCACTTCATATTAAACTGGGACTCATGAAGAATTTTGTAAAAGAAATGAACAAAGATGGTTATGGTTTCAGACATCTGTCTGACAAGTTTTCAAAAATCAGTGAAGTAAAAACAAAAGGTGGTATCTTTATTGGGCCACAGATTCAGGAAGTGCTGGTGGATGAAGATTTTGAAACAGTACTCAATCAGAAATAACTTGCTCCCTGGAAATCATTCAAACTGGTTGTTAAAAATTTCTTAGGAAATCACAGAGATGAAAACTATGCTGTGATGATATGCTTGAGAACTACAGAAAAATTGGGTCTAGGATGTCACTAAAGATGCACTTCTTACACTCTCATTTAGGTTTCTCTCCAAATGCTCCAGGTTCAACTAAACATTAAACCAGTAATGAATATAGCTATTATACAAATCCAAAATACCACCATAATTATGATGATGAAAATGCATTGATTAACCAGTCATGGTACACTCAATGCAAGTGACTTTTTGGCTATAATCCCAAAAACATTTCATGAGATTCAGCAAGCTTAGGAGATTTAGGTTTGTCCTAAATACATATACAAAGGTAACAATGTAAAATAATCATAAACTTAACCAATACTGCTAATAAACTAACATTAAAGAAAGAAAAAATATAACTTATTTTATCTACAACTACTTATTATCTTACCTCATTATTCATAGATGTGTATTTACCTGTAAATAGCTAGTTCTGAAATGAAATTTGATTTAACTTTTAATTTAAAAACTGAAACCTGACATCTTGCAGGACTTGTCATGGAATAAAACATCAACAATGTCAGGTTTCTTAACAACAACACATCATTACATAACTAAAGATACAACTTTTCAGGTGGATATAGGGTTTATTTTTCCTTTTTTAAAAAAACACTCTATGCATAATAATTATTGCACATACTTCAACTATTTATTCTTTATAATAAGGCAATATATTACGGCATTGAAAATTAACTTTGACTATTTGTATGTTCCACTTACTTTTCAAGTAGGACTACAGCAACTTGCGGGTTCACCCTTAAATACTTGCTGTTTTCTTGTCCATAGTCGTGAAAGTATGTTGCCCAGTCCCATGTCATAAAGAGATCTAGAAGCTATTATAAAATATGATGATAAAAACTCTGCAGGAGAAAGTCCAGTACACAAAAATAAATTCAAACAACCTTAAAGACACAAGTTTAACAATGACAATAATTACAAAAACAAGGACATTCAGAGATTCAAGAAGTTCCTCCAGAAAAAAACAAAAAACAAAAGGAAATCCTCAACAGCCATGGCTTTAATTAGATCTCAGATTGACCAAGAGATAGATGAACTAAAAGTTTTTACTTGAAAAACAAACAAACTCAGAATCATTCTATGAGCTGCTGCGCTGTGGCTAAAATAAAATAATCGAAAAACAAGAGATTATCAAAAAAGAAGGGGGGGGGATGAGCTAAGTAGTACTTAAAGTTAGAAACTAATCACTGGTTACCCTGGTGTCCATAGCCTAAAAGTATTAAAGTAGATATGATGGATTTATAAAAAAAGATTGAAGTGCCTAGCATAAGTTTCATTTGACCAGTGTTATATATTTACATCTGTATAATTTAAATAAGTTTTGTTTTTTGTTTGCAGCATAAGTTTAAGCAGCCTCTTCCAAAGATTTAGTCATGAATTTAGCAATCAACTCTTATTAAACATCCAACACAACTAACTACTCACACTGATGATATATATTAGAAGAATGCAAAGGTTGTAAAAAAATGAAGTTATATTTTTAGAGAAAAATCACATATAAAAACTATGTTAGTAATTTATTTACTTGGTGAGGTTTCGAGCAAATGCTCTTTATCAAGCCAGAAACAAGCCTGTCAGTCAATGATAATTACAGGAATGTTTTGAAATGAAACAATACATGAAAACAGAATGTAACGTGAGATAGAACTATGGGAATTAAACAATACAGTAAAAACAATATAATAGAGTTGGTGATTAAAAATAGTATTATAAATTATTAGAAATATAGAACAACTTTGCATACAAAAAAAAGAACTTAAACATTTTAAAGTAATAAATGAAGGGTACTTAAAAAATTATAAAAAGCTGAACCATTCGTTAATACCCAAAAGACTTAATCAACCTAATTTAAAAATTATTTCTTTTTCAACTGTGGTTCTTTGATTAGTGTTGGAGGAGGCATGACATAGGGCAAGTACTTTAAAGTGCTCAAGAGAATGATCAGCTCTAAACGTCTAATTTTATGTGTGTGTATATATATATATATATAAACACACACAAGATCATCATTTTCAATGTGAGTAAAGTTAAATATATATACATGTTTATTAACATATACTAGTGTATAGCTCATCAAAAATGATGGGTGTTAAGAGAACTCTGTAAAGATTGCTATATATTAACTAACAAAAATTATAGAAAGAAGGAAACATATACTATAATTCAGAGTGTAATAGCAACAGGTCAGTTTTTATGGATTTCGTGACTTGACTAAAACGAATGGAAGATGATATGAATTTAAAAATGCAAGTAACCATATTTAATAAAGTTTCCACAGTTAATATTTATTTAATTATGTAATTTAAGTACTATGCGTTCACATGTAAATAAATATTAGCTAACTCTAGCATTAGTAACAGTAGGTCTATTTGTAGTCTGATATAAGCATTAGGCCTAATACATAAACGTAACATAAGGCTGAAACACTACTTCATTGAAATCCTTGGTAACTTTAATCTTGCTTTTGTCTACAACTCAAAATATATAAACAATATGCTATTTAACTTATTATGGTGTGATAAGAGAGCCTAAAGTACTGTGTGTTTTTAAATTAAGTAAAGACATGGTGTGCAATAACTTATCCTAGGCTCAAGTGCATAAAACTTCTCATGAAAGAAAAAACTATCAATTCTAAATCTAAATAATTTCTGAATTAAACTGTTTTGCTGTTGTATCACCAAAATTATCAAAAAAATTAAAAACAAATCTTTCTAACAAATCAACATGTATATTAAGAGTTCAACATAAACCCCACTGTTCGCCTAACAACAATATCAGTTGGGAGTTTTCTTACTAAACAACGATATAAATTGTAGATCATTACCAAAAAAGAAGCATGACACAAAAACAGAAACTGCTTATTATATATATTAATACCAGAGGGACATGTGGAGTGTTCCTTCTACCACATACACATTATACCCTTTAACACTGTAAATGCATCACTGCTATAAAGCTTCTAATTTCCAAAGAATGCAACATGCAGATCTTGACTGTTTTTGATTTAAAGTTTACAGCTAAAACAAAGTTAAAATAGAAGCTGAGGGTGTTATTTCAACATTTAAGTCTTTCTCATGCTACTTTATGTATATATATATGATATATGGGAAATAGAATGGAGTGTCTAGTCCCTTATCAGTACTATATATAACTCAATAAAGTGACATAAAATACCTTAACTCAAGTGCTTTCGATTAGTTGACTATTCATTTTTCAGGAGAATAAGGGGTGATAATTAGTGAGTGCAATGTAATATATAGGTACAGATGTTGATGTGACGTAAGCCAGACCTCCCAGATGTGTTGACCTTGGAAACTAGCCAATCATAATTGGAGACAGTGGTGTCACGTTTAGTTTGTACAGAATGTGTACATTACATGAAAGATGTGAGAGCGGTAACAGTTAAAAAAGATATTAAAATAGTTTTCACAGAATAGAAAAATAAAATAAAAACAAAAGGGGATGAGAACTGGAGAAAATGATAATGTAAAGCAATATAAAGGAAACAATACTAATATATATATATATATATGGGAAGTAGAAACATGAAAAAAACACAGATAATACTAAGAGCAAAAAATAAATTACAAAGTTGTTTTTGGAAATTTTTTTACAGATGCACAAAAGTAAAAAATCCCAGCATTTATGTCATTCAGTGTATAGTATTTAACAATGCTATCCAGTAAATTTCTTTAATTTCCTAGTAACAGTGATAGTGAGATTCACAAACAACAATGACCAGTTATGCTGAAACTTAAGGAAGGCAACCAGCCTTAAACAATATCAAATCTAATGAAGAGCAGTTGTTTGAAACACTAGTTAAATAAAGTTTTTTTTTTCCTTGATGTGTTTTTGAAAACAATACTTCCTTTGTGAAGTAAGAGAGGATTCCATATCCTATGGACTACTGTTTTACAAGTACAATCTACATATCAAAATATCATCAGTATGTGAAGAAATCCTCCAGAGGAGAACAATGGGCTAATGCTGAGAGATGCCAGGAACTAGACAGCCTTCAGCTAGTTGTTATGGAGGAACAACAAGTACAAGTAAGTTGGACTTGAATTACAATGACATACATAGTGAAAATATAGTACAAAATAAATTTTTATACCCTCGTAGCTGAAGTCTCTATAAGAGACACAATGATGAAAGTGGAACAATCTAACACAACTACAACCAAACCAAAGTAGGAATGGACTGTGGAAGTACAAGTTTCCTAACATTACAAGATACAAAAAAAATGAGAATTTAAAAATCTGCAAATAGGGATCATTAAAAAAATGAGGAGACATGGCTGGAGATACCATAGAGATTATTTACTCAAACTAAAATCCTTTTATTTTGGCTCCATGCTGTTACCTATAATTACATTTGGTGGAATCAAAATATGGATTTGTAGTTTCAGTAAATAACATCTACAAGGATCTCCACCCTTGTTTCCTAACTTTTTACAATCCCTATTTGCAGGTTTTTAAATTCCCAATATTTTATTAGTCTTGTTTACCAACTTTTTTTTATGCTCAACTATGGGCAAAGGATTACTTGATATGGTAGCTAACTTCATACATTGTAATGATAATAAAATAGCTTGCAGCTAGCTGATACAGTTCATGGTGATTTACTGTAGCTATTGACTATTTGATAGCATTAGTTTGAGATGTAAAATATTAAGCTGCAGCTTGAGATTGTCATGGAGATTTGTTTGAGAATATAGTGAGCATTTATAGTTTCTGTTAAACTAAATTCTCTATATATAATGCATAGCCATGAGCAAATATATGCCTAGACTAAGACACAACTCCCCTACTAATCCCCCCCACCCCCCAAAAATTTACTTTTGATCAAAACTATACAGAACTAATTAGTTTAGTAAGTAACGTAGCTAACTTAATATTTCGGTCTAAACAGGAGTATGCATTATTATAAAACAAAACCTCATAATGATTAGAATGCACTGATTCATCAATTGGGTATCTTATCAGTTATCAATATTTTTATGGTTTAATCCCACTAATATCTCACAAATAATCAACAAGGTAAGAGTTTAAGCTTCATCCTATATCCACATGCTAAGCTAACAGTGCAAAATAATTATTGTTAATTGTAAAGAAAATAAATATATACACATATATTAAACAATTAAACCAATAAATGCAATGAAACTAACTTTAAAGAAAAAATGGAATATAACCTTATTTACAAGACCTACTAGAATTACTAGATGGCTTCAAGTACTGTCTCTGGTTCCCTGTCCCTAGAAAAGCATGAAACCTGTACAAGTAAAACTTTATATAATCTTCCCTAACAATGGCTAGTGCCCAATAACCTAGCATCTGAGACACACACAAGACCATCCCCGAGTAAAAACTAAAAGCACTCTGCAACAAAATTCAGACAAGACAAACTTGAAACTCCCTTGAGTTAAAAGAAAGAGAAAACACATCTCCAAACCAAATTCCATAATGGTAAGTGAATATTAAAACTACTGTGTATAGCCAACCAGGCTCTGTATCAACAAGACCTAGGACTGATTCTCGGCCACTACCACTAAATAAACAGCTCTTCTTGGGATTTCCAAGAATACGGCAGCAGATTATTAGCCAAAACACAGGATAAAAAGTAATCAATAACTAGTATCTAGTAATTAATAAAAAAAGTTCCTAATTAATAATCAGGCTGAAGTGACTATACAGACTACTAACCATGACAGTGATCATTCAAGTACATCAGAACTATGGATGAAGAAGACGAACCAGACAAACAGAAAAACGTGTTAAACATTTAATATCCAGATAATTGAACTGGATTAATATTTCAGACATGACTAAGAAAAGAGGTTTCTAAAATATTCTAGGGGAAGTTTCTCCAGCAGTTTAGAATGACCAAATACAAAAGTTCACCAAAATAAATGTAATGGCAGTAAACAATCTGATTAATAATTACTTTGAAATCATCTGATGGATTTTTAACCCTCAAATTATCAATTTGTTTTTATGGTATTTTTATTTGAATTACTTGTAGGATTCTTAGAGGTATCCTGAAATCAACAATTTCTATAACCCACAAGTTGTTTGGTACACAAACAGCTTGGAAAAATGTGTTTAAAAAGCCAGTCGTGTCCATATAAACTCTAAGTAATTTTAGGGTTAAAGCCTGTAGAAAATTCCAGAGATTCAGTCAACAGAAACGATAGAATAAAAGCTAACAACCTCATAAAAAAATCACAATTTGCAACATTAAATGACAAAATAAGTCACTTTCATTTACAGATGTGATAAGATATATAACTGAATTCTTCAAAGCTCAAGAGAGTAAAACTAACATAAACTGTATGAATTACAAAAATATATGGGACATATGTAGACATAAGTACAAAAGTCATAGACAGGTGGGTATGTGAAGATGACAATTAACACCAAGGGCTGCCATTGGACAATGAATGTAAAACTCTTGTATACATTTGGTTACCAGACACACTAAAAAGTGTTCTTTACTCAAGTCAACAGGCAAAAAATCCAGATTAAAATAAACACAGAAGCTATTAAATGACAGTCTTAAGTACCCACATCAGAAACTGAAAGCTTTTTGTACCTTAAGGACGAGTAGTGTTGATAAAAAAACAACATCAAAAGTCAAATTTGTTAACCCAATCAGAAAGACAGCATTTTTAAATTCATTTGTACGTGCATTACTGAGTTAGATTCAAAATTTAATTAAACAGCCTACTATCCATGTATGTCAATGAAATTAACATTATAATGTACGTTATAATTGAAATTTTTATGTTATCTAAGTTTTAATTCCTTTGTTTCAAAAGAAACATTTAAAATAAATACATAAACTACAGTTTTCGGAGCTCTTTATAACGACTGTATACACTTGTATCAACTAACTACGTGTACAATGTAAATTTCATATCAAAGTATAAAAGGTGAGAGTAGCACCCATCATGGATTGGAAAATTTATTTCTCTTTCCCAGTGAATACAGTTGTAAGACTTTGTATCATACGTATCAAAAGGACACATACAAATACATTGGCATCTAAACAGTCATATACATTGCAAGCTTACATAAACAAACATTCATCTCCTGCTAAAGTGGAGATTTTTTATATATCGCATGGATCATGTGACAAAATTTGAAATTGGAGTGCAGTTGTTTATTGAATTAGATGTAACAGACTGTAGTATTTTTGTCTGCTTGATCGATTACAGCACTTATGGTGGTTTTGTTACCTAAATACATATAGTTAGAGACAGTTAAACTGTATTTAGGTCTTACTTTTATAATTTAGTTAATAATGTATAATTTGTGTTTTAAAAATCATATTTGAATAGTTTTTATAAGTTTAACTTGTCGCATGGATTGTAAAAGGTTATAAATAAAATGGCGTGTACAAGCACCATCTTGTTTCGGCAACGTGTCTCTGCAGGGAGCCTGTTGAAATAACTTCATAAAGGACCGCTGGTATCAGTTGACATAAATAAAGACAAAGAATTTGAAAGGGAAGTTGAAAATAAACTATAAGTGAAAAGATAAAGATGTTAAATTACACATATGTGAAAAAGACAACTATTCTAGAGAATTTCTACGAAGAGTGGAAAGGTATGTACATATTTGTATTTGTTAATTTTAAGTATTTCTTTGCACTGTATGTTGATGACAATAAATATTTAGTAATATAGTGAAGAAAATGGAACATAAAGTATAAACATTTACCTTAAAAAACTTTTGATGTTAATTTATGAAGTTCTAGAGATTATGCAAATGAAATGTGAAACTAAGATAAAAAAGTGTATTCTTATATTTTATGTAAAAATCTCCTTGCACGTGAACTATTCAGAGTCGAGTGCAAATAACTATATGAAATAACGAATTTTTATTAGAAACAGCAGAAAAAAAAATTAAATATTTCATTTTTCTGAAACTACATATTTTTAGGAACATTCTTGTCAAATTTCAAACAATTTCATCAGCTAGTTTTATTTCTGAAAGACATTTCACAAGAGTTACATACTTTCTTTCAATATCATTCCTAAAAGGTTAATGCCTTCCATAATGTAGTAACTGTTAATTACATACCTATATAGATAATGTATGTATATGTTATAGATGTTTACATTATTAAGGACTATTCTATAGCATTTAAATAAAACTGATTTAGTCCAAAAGCACTGTTTATATTAGTTGTAATATAATATCCTTAACAATGAACTTAAAAAAGTAGGCTTTTGTAAAGGCTTACTAACCTGCCTAAGATCAGCAAAACACATCTGGAGTGCACCTTCTTCAAACCCTCTAACAGGTTCTGAATTAGCAAACACTATTGAATAGAAAAAAGAACTAAGTTTAGCTTATATCTGTTAATGACTAATCATTATCTGTATTTGTTTTGAAGATCTTAACATAAAATATTTGGATCACTTGAGCCAAAATAACTCAGTTTCAAGCATAAAATGCTTTTCTTCCAGCATTTTTTACCCCTGTTATTTGGATTTGTATGGAAAAAATCGATTTTTATTAAAAAAGTCTATAATAATTAAAATTTAACAACGAAAATATACTGATACGTACTGAAATTCTAGCTTTTAGCTGTGTTACAACCGAAGGTTGTATTCTCATAGCAAAGTACATATCAATGAAAGTAATACACTGGCATTTCTGATAGTTCCTAAATGATAAGAACATACACAAAAAAATTATCATTTTAGACATAAGAGTCTACATATCAAATATCTTAAACTTTTTTTGCATGATTTAGACATATTTTGCACAGGGTTTATCCCATTTTATAAGAGCTAATGCCACTTCAACTGAAAGTCATTGCACCATGTTTACCATCTATATATTTACTTCATAGCAAATTCCAAAATGTTTGAGAGTTAAACACTGCCATGGGTAGCCTTTTGGCCTGGGGCTTTGTACATAGTAAGAAATTTGTTGAATTAGATTGCTAAACAATACAAAGCTAAATATTTTGAAGAAAGTAATTTTAATGTTCTTCACGAAAGCAGACAAAACTTTTACAGCAATATGTTTAGGTAATGAAATGTTCTGAAACTGTATCCCAAGCCAATGCTCTCATCCACAAAGTGAAGACCACGTTTATAAAAGAGAACTCTTTGTGCTGTGTAATAAACAAGGATTTGAACTTGATGAGGGCTCACAAGGCTTTCAGCCATACCTTGAAATCAATGGTTGTTTTCACATTACAGATGGATGAATAAACTGGAATTACACCAATCCCATTCAACTGCATATCTGTCAAGTACCCCAATGGAGTTCTATACCCTTTTGTATCTTTGATCTGCTTAAACATAGTCTAGAAAGCAAACATCCATGTGCAGTGGAGGATGTGTGAAAAGTTCGTCAAAATGTATGGAATAAGATTGACCTCATCATCTTTTGTAGAAACTTTCTACAATGAAAGAAGTATAATCTGGCAATAATGCATTATTATGGCCATCAAAATTGAGCATGATTGATAATGAAATAGTTCCAAGGGCATGAAACCTGGAAATTGTTCTTAAAAGTGTAATTAACCTTTAAACAAATAATAATGAGTAAGCCTATTAAGTATTCTGACTATTTATAGAATACAGATGAAAAAATAAATATTAACAAAACTACAATAAGACTTTAATTAATTAATCAACAACAAAACTAAATCTCACTAAACTAAATAAAATTCCTTAAACCAGATTAACTAGTTTGGTGTTTCAATGTATGTCAAACATAGAGCTAAACCTTTAAGAAGATAAAATTCCTTAAACCAGATTAACTAGTTTGGTGTTTCAATGTATGTCAAACATAGAGCTAAACCATTAAGAAGATAAAATTCCTTAAACCAGATTAACTAGTTTGGTGTTTCAATGTATGTCAAACATAGAGCTAAACCATTAAGAAGATAAAATTCCTTAAACCAGATTAACTAGTTTGGTGTTTCAATGTATGTAAAACATAGAGCTAAACCTTTAAGAAGATAAAATTCCTTAAACCAGATTAACTAGTTTGGTGTTTCAATGTATGTCAAACATAGAGCTAAACCTTTAAGAAGATAAAATTCCTTAAACCAGATTAACTAGTTTGGTGTTTCAATGTATGTCAAACATAGAGCTAAACCATTAAGAAGATATTTATTCTTGGGTATTTGTGAAATCCGATTTTGATAAGAGTGGTTTCGTGTTTCAGCTATGGTTAAATAAACTGTTCCAATTTTAGAGTAATAATATCAAAGTACAGTGGTCCATAAGATACAAATTTTCCCCACAATTTAAATTTCTTGATTTGCATATCATGTGTTAATCTTATTCCCCCAGATGTTAAAAGCCTAAAAAAAAAAGTACTTTTAATCTTCTCTTGGGTGTTTTATCAGTTCAAGAATGCATTGTTTGACAGCAAAATAATAGTTTGTGTTATGCAGGACAGTATTTAAAAGAACACTGACAATTCTCACATCATCCCTTATAACCAGAGTTTGCAGGTAGGTAAATATCATGTCCATTTGCTTCTACTACCCAAAACACTTTTGAGACAAAATCTGAAAGAATCAGACTTCTACGGGATGTTGATTAAATATCTTTGTGCGAAGAGAATGGCATCTGGGTTTTTACAGTTGTAAAAAAGATCAGAGGTATCTCTCAATCATAACTGGATGATACATCTGTCTCAAGGCTTACACTATAAAATTATTATAAGATACCTTGTTAATTTGGAGGTAAGGGGTCTGGGGGCCAGGAAAGCACCCTGGAGGGAGGGTAAAACTCCTTAGAAGCTCCCAAGTTTTGTGAAAATATAGTTGATTTTCAATAAAATAAAAGATTAAGCAGGACAGTAGTGATATATTTCTTTGATGCATAACTTAAGTTTCAATAATTACTGAATAACTACATTTTCAGAATGTCATTTTATCTGTAAAGAGGATATTTACTTTAATCAATTTCATTATAACTATGTATAAATCCACAATCCAGGCTATGGATTTATTGTAAAAGTAAATCACAATACTGTTGTTCTAAATTCCAGTTTAATTATCTCTTTACTCATCATGTCTGTTGGAATGTACAAACATCTTTGGTTTAAAAGAAGAATTATGCTAAATAAATTTCAACTATCATGACCATTAAATGTTAAATTGCCAAATACTTAATATACATATATAATTATATGCATATGTATGTAATAACTGTCTAATATATTTTTACTGGAGTCACAAGGGTTTAAGATACACTTGGTCATTTATGGAAAACAAAATGCCTTTTACTTATATGTAGTTATTGTTTCCTACAATATCTTGAGTCAGAACAACATGAATGGAAAGCTTACTGATTTCAGAAGTAAAGGCATTTCACAGTAACAAATAATCCTTAAACAGTTAAAAAATACACATTTTATACACGTGAGAAGATTTTTTTAGTGCTGTTGGCATTCTACCATGCAGTATCTTCCAAAAAACACTGATCCACCCTAAACACTGGTAGATAATTCAGAGTTTACACTGATAAACAGAAGAGGACAGTTCACAGTGATAAAGTGTGAAAGCTGTAACATGAATAAATCATTCTATGCTTGAACAATACCAATACATCAGAACTGCAATCATAATTATGGATACAAGTTCTACAATTGTTAGAATAATGATTGATTAAAAACATTCTGTCTTAAAGTTTGAAAATAGGTGAAAACCTTTTCATACAAATCCTTAGTTTCGCATGAAGTTGAGAATTCCCCATATATGACAATGTGATATATCCACATTGACTATAATTTCATTCACACAAAAGCTAGCAGTTGCTGATATAATCTCATTGTATGTATCTATTGTAACTGGATTTTTTCATTAAAACTTAAACTGAAGTTGGCAATATTAGATGTAAGAAAACCCTGGTAAAACAAAACATGCTTTTAATCAATCTGACACATTTTTACAAAACTATAAGTGCAGTGTGCAAAATGAAAATACCATTTCTAACCCAACTGTTTTCTGTATGTGACAAGTACTTTATACACAATCTTTTACAATTTTCTTGCTATCCACCAAATTATGCAATGATTGTGGATCTTATCAATTCTTTGTATGGGGGAACCTAAAACATGAACAATACACTGTTAAAACCTTACATTCACATTGAATAAGATCAAGATTAAACTGCTGCAGTGCTCCCATGGACACATGTTTCACATCCTCTTCCATTAGGAATTCCATAAGGGATGATGCAATGTATTTACAAGATGACATACATGCTGTCTGAGCCACTTTGTCCTGTAAAAACAGACGACAAAAATCAATAAAATTTCTTTTATGCAAAACATAGGTTTGGCACATCTAAAATTAGCCAGTTCAATGAAGTCTTAATGTACCTACTAAGCAATTTTACTAGTCATTGATGATATCTACCCAGTTTCTATTTTGAGTACAATATACCTCTTCAGTGAAAAAAAGCCCAACTTCCACAACAAAATAAATCTTTTATCTATAAGAATTATTCTACATACATAAACTAACTAGATAAACTTGGTGCAGATATACAACAGAACACTTGCTTCGTAGTAACTGTTAACGATTTTGATCATGACGGAAAATAAAATATTGTAACTGAGAAGGAAAAACAATGTAAAGATCTTCCTTGATCATTTTTTAAAAATGTAACTTAAAATACCTTTGGTAAAATATTGAGTTATAAAATGACTCACTGGAAGGTTGGTGAAGGCCTGAAAAGTGCTTTGTAGGAAGGCTATTAAATCTGTCAAGTAGCTACTAGCATGTCCTTCAGGTTCCCCAAGAAGCCAGTCATAACTGGCTGTTAAAAAAACAAAAAAAAGTTAAATAATAAACCAAGCTCTAATGCAAACAGGATAGAAAAAATTTTCATATCAGCTAATGAACAGTGCAAAAACTATTAGAAAAAAAGATTTAAAGTCCTTTAGATAATTTCTTGAAAAGTGCTTACTGCTCATGTATTTGTGGTTTCTGACTCACTGAAGTATTTTGAAAATAAATGTTAATTTATTTGTTATTAACCTATACATTGTACCCAAGAGAGTCAAAAACGTTTACAATTATACTTATCACAAGACATTGCTATTAGGCCCATTATATTTTTAAATGCTACATTTAGAATTGGATTTGAGAAATAGTATGATTGAAAGACTAGTAATATACACTCTTCTAATTCTTGAAAATCCCTAGAGACTAGATAAAGAATGTAGTGTTTAAAAATGTAATAGGCTTAATACAAATGTTTTTCTTAGGATAAGTGTAATTGTAATCATTCTCTACTGGCTCATAACAAGCATACACACACCATCATAAAAATGTTTAGCTTTTTATTATCTTAAATGAACATTTCATTTTTATACACAAAGCAAATAAAATTTCAATTACTTACATATTCTAATACCTACTTTCAAGATTTTTCATTATGATAGATATTTTTGGTTATATAAAAAAGGCAATGCAAAACCACAATGAAGACATACATCTACCACAAATACAACTTGTACAAATATTATATTTTTGATATCAGCAGACTAAATAAATTTTTACAAACAAATAAAACAACAGTGAACTCTACAGAATCTTACAATTTATTTTATTTGCTCCAAGTTTTAATTTACATCTTTATCAGGAAAATACATTTTATGTAATGAACTCTATCACTCAAACTAAGAACTATTACATTTCAAGGTTTAAACTATGCACAAGAATATATATCTTGCATGTGATCATTCCTGTTATTACAAATCCCATGGCACATATACAAACAGTATAATATAAACTAAACATAAATGTCATATAAAGAAATATCATTACAAGACTTTTTCCAGCTATATGGATAATACTGTACATTAGCAATGAACTGACCAAGCAATTATGCAAAGCTGTGAAAATGTCCAGTCTCCCAATGAGAATTATAAAAAACCAGGTGTGACTTACAAGATCTGCTTTCATTTCCAATACATACTGCAAAAAATACTCTTCTGTTGACTTGTCATATATGAGAGGAGAGTGTTTAACAAAGAATGTAATATACCAACTAGAATACACAGAATGTAAGACCATCTAAGTTGAAGGAACTGGAAGACCCTTCCATTAATCTATAAATAAGCACATTTGGGACATAAAGCAGAAGTGAAAAAAAGTGTTGTGGCTGACCACTGTATCTTGAATCATGGTATACCAAAGATGGATTGCTAAATAACATTAGAAATGGCACAAGATCTGACAATTTCCTAGATCAGAAAATTAAGGAATCACTATTTTTAGAAAAATATAACAGATGACCCTCTCTTAAATGTAACCAAATTTCTTGTGGATAATAACTTAAACATTACTTACTCAGTTTGTCTAATCCTATTCAATTTTCACATTTATGCTTTCTTTTACCATGTAAGATATTTCTTTGTGCAATAACATTTAGAGAAATATATAAACAAATAATGAGCAAATATAATGAATTAACCCTCTCCTAAATTTTACTAAATTTATCATAGATAAATTAAATCATACTTATTCAATTTGCTCATTTTATTAACTTTTCCATATAGGCTTTTATTTTACTATGTAAGATATTATTTTTTATTTACATAATATTAACATTTATATTATATTGTTTATATATGTACCACAGTTCTTATAATAATAGGAATGATCACTTGCAATATATACTCTTGTGCATGGCTTAATTCCTAGAACACAATGGTCTTAATTTGAGTGATAGACTTCATTACAGAAAATGTACATTCCCGATGAAGGCACAAATCCAAAACACTGAGCCAAGAAAACAACATGAAAATTCTCTGGAGTTCATGATCATTTTATGTAATTTTAATTGTGTGGACTATATTCCAGTTGGCATTATACAATTCAAAAATTTTAAATAAACTATTCCACTGTCTTTAGAAGCAACTAGAAGGTTTGTTTGATATAAAGTACATAAAGCTTGTATAGAACATATCAGTTTGCAAAAAAGTTAGTCACACTACTTCTTATAACAAGCTTAGACAGTTTAAAATGCCCATTTTTACCAAACCTGACGAAGGACATATGCTCAGAACATAACTAAAAAGTTTAAGAAAACAAAGTTTTTGTTCTGACATTTGGTTCATATTAGTTTCAAAAATACTTTTTGACATTTAATTGTAATAACTGCAGTGCTTCTGTCACACGTTTTGTTGAAAATTTGTGTAAAAAAAATTACAAAAATATGTTATCACTGTAGCTTTGCAATAAAATGACCTTGAAGAGATAAGTTTGTGATGTAATACACATGTATAATTGATCTATTTAAAATACAGTTGGTGAGAAGGTTCTTGGTCTGATAACATGGAAGAACATTTGTCTACCACAAATAAAGGATTATGAGGGATTCAGAATGTAAAATAAAACTAAAATCATATTCAAATGCAAGCAAATTCCCCAAATATAAATGTTATAATTTTCCTATACTGAAAATGTATTTCCGATAGGTACTTACCTCCACTCACATAAATAGCTATTCTCATTCAGTGCTGTCCACTATGTTCAAAAAATTTTTGTGTGCACATTTCAAGCCTCAGAATTCCCACCCACCTAGAATTGACTAATTCTAATGCATCTAGCATGCAAGTTGTCATGTGATAACCCTCCACCAAAAAAGAGCATGACACACTCTCTTGCTGCATGTGACTTCCTATATTCAATTCTACTGAACTTCCACTTGAAGTGTTGGCAGAAAATGGAAGCATCAGTTTACAGTGGGGAGGAAGGGTGGGAAGTGTAAGATGAGATAAGTACCTTTTGGAAATACATTTTTGGTATAGGAAAACTATAAATTTCGATATAGTACATTATATATAAATAGCTAGATGGAGTAGCACATCCAAATGGGAGAGAACTATGGCAGGATAGTGAACCTGACCATACATAATTTATTAAAAACAC